TTTCCTTTCAGCCTTTGCTTCCCCAAGATGAGAAACCTAGATCTGGCTTTGTGCGTCCTCACCAGCACGTCAGAGCTGTACCTGGTCTGGCCAGAGCTTTTCCAGCTTCCACCTCTGTGTAGTTCAAGGACTTCTGGAGCCAGAGATCACGCCTGGGCAGTTAACAGCCCAAACCAGGCCGTTCCTTCGTGAAATCCCTTGTGCAGCCGGGTACATCCGCCGCTACCACACCGTCCTGTGATGAGGAGTTTCACGATTTAAGGTCATTTCCTTGTGTTTTGCCGTGCCACCTTCCAGCCCCACGCTAGAACTCATGTTCTGGTATTGGAAAAGGCAACGAGTTCCAGCAATCTCCACCTACCTTTTCCAGTGTACGATATTAAAAATGCACTTTGGTCACTTCTCTGACATCCTGCAGAACCCTGATCTTTCCAGTTATTCATCCCCAAAACAGCCATTGCATCCCTCTGACCATCCTGCCTGTCCCTTCCTTTCTAGGGCATGCTGATAAAAATTGTAGATTATGCCAGACTGTGACACTCGCTCCTCTGCCCACTGGAAACGACTGCACCCACAGTCACGGAGAAACACACTTAATTTTCCAATTGCTACGTTATGCTAATAAGTTCAGGGAATTACAGGATGCCTAAGCCTTTTGGTTTCCATTTCAAAGCAATTCTGCCCGAGTTCCTGGAGTGTCTGATACTACTCTCCTCACAGCTGAATTTTTAGCTCTACTACTCCACTCCTCTGACGCGTTTCATCGCTTTCGCAATGAGAGCACCATCTTGTCCCGGAGCAGCAATCTCTCATTTTGGTTCTTTTGTTCTTCTTCCCTACTAGGAGCATTACCATATCAATATTTTCAAAGACATTTATCAGTGTCAACCCTCCCAGGTCCCACCCTTCATAAGTATTTGTACTCCTCAATCTTTACTCTTCATTCCTCCCTCCCAAATGCTGTAGGAAGCCCACCACCGGTGACCTTCCGCACGGCATCGTATCAGATACTGTCCCACCACTAATTTTTCCAAACAGACAAGCAGTACAACCACCCAACCAAGAAGATACTCAATTCTCCCACGTGCTTCCACCCAGAACTTGACAAACCAGGAGTCCTGCTGACGGATCTGTCCCAAACTAGCTCATTCCTTCGGCAGGCCCGTCCCAAGAGCCGTGTCCCACCCTCCTCCTTGCCCGCAGCCCGGGCACCGCACCAGGCTTGCCCAGCCCAGCCGAGGCTCTGCAGAAGCTCCCTGCACGCAGCCATAGTCCCACTCACTACCCAGTCCCACCAGTCACCGCTTCCTCTTGTCCCAGCCTCCCCTGTTCCTGTTACAGAATCACAGAATGGTTGGGGTTGGCAGGGCCCTCTGTGGGTCACCCAGTCCAACCCGCCTGCCCAAGCAGGGTCACCTACAGCAGGCTGCAGAGGACCTTGTCCAGGCGGGGCTGGAATATCTCCAGAGAAGGAGACTCCACAGCCCCTCTGGGCAGCCTGGGCCAGGGCTCCGTCACCCTCAGAGGGAAGAAGTTCTTCCTCGGGTTCAGCTGGAGCTTCCTCTGCTTC